CAAAGATGTGTAATACTTATGTTGGTAAGGGTTTAGGGAAACAGGCATTCTGTGTGTTGTTGATGAGAGTGTACATAGGCTCTGTATATCTGGAGGGTAGTTTTGGTCTACTTGTTAAAACTGTAAATGTTCATACCCTTTATTCCCATAGTTGCTCTTTTAGCAACTGTATCTACATATGTACCTGCACAAATGGGCAAATTATGGGTGTCATTGCAGCATCCTCTGGAGTGGAAACAACCCTGACTTGCAACAGTTGGGAGTCAGTCATGGTACAGCCATGAAGTGCCATGCAGGAAGTGAGAGGAATGGGGACGCTCTGTTCTTATCTGAAAAGATGTTCACATCACAGTCAACTGGAAAGTCAATAAAAGTAAACTTAAAGCTCACTCGGTGGCGAGGTGCTGATAACACCAATGTCAGGGATTCAGATCCCCATACTGACAAGCCACCAAAAAACAAACAAAAAACAGCATGTAGACTCTTAGGTTCCCTTCAATGAGAAAAATTTTCCTAAAGGCCACATGTGCTAAAGTTAAAAAATTTCACAGAGGCTAGGAGGGGGAGCAGTAAAGAGTCATTAACAAAATGAATGAGTTCTGTTTTTAGGTCTGTTAAGAAAGAAGTAAGCATGTGTAATCCTAGGGGCTGTGGGCAAACATTGCTGAGCAGTGGCTAAGTCGGGCACTGTGGTAGGGGCTGGAGTCACTACCACCTTCATGTAAACAAATAATTACTGAAGATATAGTAGATATGGTAATAGGAGGCCACAGCTTGTACATGTGACTGTAATGATAAAAGAGAAATCGTTGACAGCATTAAAATAGAAGCTCCATGAGAGCAGGAATTTGGTTTGTCCACAGCATCTAGAACAGTGCCTGGAACACACAGTATGCTTAATATATGGAATTTGTGCTAAATGGATGAGTGAATGAATGAATTTATTGAGGCAGGGTCACCACAGATAACACACTTACCTTAGGATAGGAGGAGGGTCTGTTTATAAAAGGACACAGAGTTGTATGTGGGATGCGGGAGAAATATAAGGGATAGCTCAGGAGCCCAGGCTGGTGGAGAGACATCATCACAATCCCTAGGCTGGAGGAGGTGAGAGGACTGACATCACTGGAACTGGAAGGGAACTCTCTAATCTACTGAATCTACCCAGGAGCCGGAGGGCAGAGCTTGCCTAGAGCATACCTCAGGGTGTCTCTGGCAAACTTTTTGCATGTGCTGCACCAGACTCCACAAAGAACCCTGCGAGATAAGGAATATAATCCCCATTTTACAGCCCAGGAAGCTGAGATTAGTCAGGCAAATTGTCCAAGGTTATAGCCACTGTTCTAAGAAATGCCAACTGATTGGTGGAAAGTTAAGCCCAGGTTGGGCCACAGTGACTAAATACAGCAGTGTGGCCTGAAGGCCTAGAGCCTCATCTTTGGAGTGTACACACTGGATGGTTGGTGGGTGCAAATGGCTTCTGGGCCTCAGCTTCCCCACCTGTAAAATGGGATAATACTTACCTTTTGGGAATTTTCGAGAGTATTAAATGAGGCATTGATTATAGAATGCTTGCACTTGGTAGATTCCATTGAATGGTAGGTGCTCTCGAAAGAAGACCTCAACTCACATCAACCCTGAAAGTGTTAATAATTCTTTGGAAATACACCAACATGTAAAGTGTGTTTCCTCTTGGGTGGGGGAGTACGGTTCATTTTTTGTTAACTACTTTATACTTATATTTTTCAGTTTGGGACCATGAACCCATATTACTTTGACAGTCAGGAAAACAGTTGTTACCCTCCCTCCCACCCCCACTTCCCGGCTTTTATCCAGGGCCTTTCCAAGTCTCCCCACCTCGGGTTTCTGTTTCAAGCCCTAGGTCCCTGGGCTCTGTGCTCCTAATGGCCAATGTGGGCAGGCCCTGCAACAGCTGAAGACCTTGAACTCCATCTAGGATTCAAGGACCGGGGTCTGCTGTCCCTGCACACACCGCCTCCCACCTCAGAAGTGGGAGAATGTGGAGAGAGGGCCTGAGTGGGGCAGAGATTAAGATCGTCAGAACTGTCAGACTTTGATCCCGGTTTGGCCTGTTTTCCCATCAAATTTCTAATAAAGTGGAGTAGATTCTCTTTGCTGCTCAGTTATCCGTGTCTGTTTAGTTATATTAATGTTAATGGTAATCCTGCAAAATGGGTATAATCTGTACTTTATAGATAAGAGAAGTAAGACTCAAATTAAATCAATTTGGACAAAATCATACATTTGGTAACTGGCAGAGCCCTAGTGAATATGAGCCCTTTTGCCTCCAAATCCTGTACTTTCCTTTCCCATATTTTCTGAAGCCTTCAGTATGTTTTCTAGATGGAGACAAAATTTTAATTTTCCAACTGTACAAGCAATACCAGATGATAATAGAAAATATATAAAGAAGGAAGAACACTGTCACATGGTCGCAGCCAGCCGCCACACTGTCTATACGTTAGTATCTTGGTTTTTTCCACGTAACATTATAATACGTGCCTTGTTCCACTGTGTTAGCAATTCTTTGTACACCTTACTTTCAATGGCTGCCTAACAATCCCTTAGCTGGGTATACCATCACTTGCTTAAACAATTCCCTATTGTCGAACCTTCCAGTTGTTTCCAATTTTTTACTGTCGGCAACAGTGTTGCACAGAACGATTTTCTTCAGAAAGCTTTTTCTGTTCCTGCTGTTTCCTTAAGATAGTTTCCCAGAAGTGGAATTACTGGTTCAAGGGCTATTAGCATTTTAAGCTTCTCCATAACTATTGCCAAATTATTCCCCCAAAGGGTGTCGCCAGTTCCCTTTCCTGCTCACAGTGAGAGTATTCTGAGGGCAGCTTCCTACTCTAACCTGCTCTCTCCTTCTCTCACCAAAGCGTCATAAAGAGAATGGCTCAGAGCGTGGTGCAAGTGATGGAAGATTCCAAGGGCAAAGTCCAGGAGAACCTTCTGGCCAATGGAGGTAGGCGGGCGACGTGTTCTTAACCCTTCCGAGTGCTGTGTTTTGTGTTCATAGAGCTCACGTATGTTTATGCATGTAGACACTTATGTATACATATAGACAGAGGATTTTAAACACCAGGAAGAGGGGACGCATGTCCAGGTGCTCAGGTCGTTTAGACCACCCGCAGCACAGTGGTCACGGAAATGCTCCAGGCCTCAAGGGAAGCTCTGAACTGAAGCGGGGACAGAGGCTGGACGCCCCCGCTGGAGCTCAGCAGCTCCCCGGTGTTTGGGAGACACGCCCCTTCACATGTGCATAGCTCTGCGGTCTCATTCCCAAGGCATGTGGCATTTCTTGCCCTGTCGCTGAGCACCTGGGTGAAATTTGAAATGAACATGGGTTCAAGGGAGTCTAAGCCCAGGCTCTTGTTTCGCCCACCCACCTTCTCCGTTAGCCACATGGAAAATTCTGCCCATCCCACGTCATGGCAATTGATTTATCCCTTTCCCCATCGATGCATGAAAAATGCTTTCCTGTGCTGGGGAATGCCTCTGAGTCTTTAGCTGCTGCCCAATAAACAGGAGACGGAATGCCACACCAAAAATGCTTTGCGCAGCGTATGTGCATTTGGGATTTCTGTCTCCCCTGTGCTGATAGGATAAATCTTTAGATTCCCATGAGGTTTAGGGCCATTAATTGAGTACACACAATTTGAATGTATTTAAAATGTGCAAGACAAAAACTTTGAGACTTTGGAAACTTTAGAATGAAATGTTTTAATATCTATAGAGGTAAACGTGTGACTCTAGGCATTGATATTGAAAATGAGAGTATATGCTATATATTTAGCATTTTAGCATTTCTATCATTTGCTTTATATGTAACATATTTATTCATGTTTTTTCATTTCTGGAAATATTAAAAGACTTTTATTTGCTTGTTTAAATTGAAAAGTGGAAATGTGTGTACCTCTGAATCTGAACTTGGCTTTGCATGCCTGTGTGGTTTAATAACTCCACTCTATCATATTGCAGGCTTGAAGGAAAAAATGAAATATTTGAAGAGTAGGTTATGCGTTGTGTGCTGTGTCTGTGCTCGGTGTGATACCCGCATGTCCCTGGGAAGGTGGAATCTCAGTCTGGTTGTAAGGGTACAGTGATCAGGTTGTGACGATTTCTCAAGTAACAACCTCATAGCTTGGTCACAATATCCATATGACACAGAGAGCCACTATTTCATTCCTTTCCCCCTCTTTCTTGTGTCACCCCTGCCTCTCCCGAGCAGCACTGCACACCGTCTGGAGATTGGGAGTG